AATCTCCCCCCCCCCCCCCTTTTTTTAATCCATTTTTTAATTAAAATATTCAATTAATACATAATTATTATATTTTATCCAACCCCATTTCATCTAACAATGTTTCATTATAAAGTAATTCTTAAACGCGCCAATAACCAAGATCCGAGTCATTGAGGCAAATATAATATTTTTCTTGATTATAAAAAACATCAAATTTAATACACCGAATACAAACATTTTTATATTAATTAAATATAGAAGTCACCTCAAATGTAACTTTTAAATTAATTATTACAAAAATTAATAATTTTTTTATTACAAAAAGTCACCAATTATATCATAATAAAATATGCACAGAGAAAAACTGTCTTGAGAATTTTACAGAAGTGCAAAGTATGTATTGTTAATAGAAAATCAAAGTATATGGTGTATATGTATTAAATATAAGTTTTAGCATCTCCTTTGGAATATGAGATCAGCATATTTGTGGTGTGTATTAACACATCACAAATATGTCGATAATAAAATTTATCAAAATGGTGTGTTTATGTTTTACAAATATATACTTTAACAAGATGAAGAAAATGACTAATCTATATCATTTTTATTTACATTTTCTATTAGCTTTATATACCTTATGGATGTAATATCTTGGACTTCTGTAAAATTTCCCAGGTAATTTTCCTATATGCATTATGATGATATATGATTAAATAATTTTATAAAATATTTATGTCGTTAATACAGTATAAATAAATTTCAACAACATTAATTGTTAATCATTTTCCAATATTAAATATTAATTATTAATATTTATCATATCAATCATTTTCTAATAAAATGATCGATCTTTATTTTTCTTCTCAAAAAAATAGTTATAATCATTCTTAAAGTTTGTCAAAATGATAGTGACTTTTTTTTTCTCTCTATTTTATTAATTGATACACATCTCCCTTATTGGTAACTTAACTTTCACATATTATTTATTTTCATAATATTAATTTATTTATATGTTAAAACTCATTCTTTTTTATTATTAAATCTTTTTTTACTATTAGAAAAGTATACGACATCATCGTTATGTATTTCTACTCTCAACTTCAATGTATTGTGAAGTAGTACAAATGCAAAACATATACCATTTACTAATAGACTATACAAAAACACAAGTGATTAATTATTTTTATCAAAAAAATTCTATGAATAATATTAATTACTCACACTTAAGTTCAAAAAATTTAAATAACTTTAAATATATTAATTAAGAATGTAAGTCTGCAATTCAAATAATATTTTTTCCTCTCAAATATCAAAATCACTAAAAGTGCAAATTTACAAAAATACATTTTAGTTTACATAAATAAAAAAAAGGACAACTTAAAAAAATTTACTTAAATAAATGTAATAACAGAAAAAACAGATACTAATGAAGAGAAAATATGTTAATGATCAAGAGAAAGAACTCATGCTCATTAAAAATTTAGTATATTTTATATGTACACTTTTTCAAGTTTTAGTTTTATTTATAATTTAAAACGAAGTTAAACAAAAATAACTTTAAAAAAAAAAACTGATAGTTTGCGTATTAAGACAAACTATGAGGACTGACTTAAATTAGTTAAATGCACTGACACACTTTTTTTAGAATAAAACTCATTAAAAAATACATAATTTAATAAATTTCACCATATTTCATAATTATTTCGCATTATTTTATAGTTTCCAACAGAGATAACACCCTCCATTGTCTAAAATAAATAACACATGCTGCTTAAACAAAAAAGTGTATTAAAGTGTATTTAAGTAAACAATTAATTACAAATGCATATTTATTGTATATTTAAATATCAGTTAATACTCTTATTGTTAAAGTAACAATATCTTTCTTCATTTTGTACATTGGAATTCAGAATTGTAGATTAGAATTCACAAAAAAAGTGCTTTTCCAACTGTTATTCAAACATAAACTTAGATGTTTGAAAGAAATCCTGACATTTACCGTTTAAGCATAACACAAAGGCATATCTAACTACACACGGAGACCATAAACTTCATAAACAGCTACATATGTATTTTCCACAAACTGTGTTATTCGAGAGAAACCCAAGCCGGGTAAATCAGAAAATCAATCTCTTCTTTTCTTCTTCCTCTCATTTCTTTCAGATGAATTCTTAAGCTGTGAAAGGATACAAAAACATAGTCAACGTCAATACCAGCTCATTGTGAGGGAACAAAAAAGAAAGAAAACCCATAAGAATCTTAAAAGGCTATTTTATCTGTGGTCCAACTTACCAGTATGATAAGAATCCGCACAAAGATTGCAGCCAGATCAGTGAACAGGGTCAATGCATGCTTCACATAATCCAGGTCGCCAAAGTGAGCCCTCTCAATAATTTCTTGGGTATCTACTATAACGTAGCCGACAAACACCAAAAGCCCAAAGTACAACTGCAAAAATCACAAATAAGTACACCAGAAGATATATTATATAAGATGACAAGATATATATCATTACATAAGAGCATTGCGAATTAGATACATTAGCCAGAATAAAAATTAACAACATTGTCACTTACCTCAAACTTAAAGAGCGCTATTGAGTTCCCAAAGAAGGAGGAAGCAAAATGCAACCACATGAGAATGGACAACCCAGAAGAAAGCAACCCACCGAGGTAGAGGTACTCCCTACGCCTCGCAACTAATGCTGCCGCAGAGAAACAAGCAAAAGCCAAGGAAGTTGCCACAAATGCGCTAAGGATAAGGCTAGAGATTGGAAGAAAAATGTCAAAACATGATCCAAAACTCAAAACTAGTCACAGAAGAAACTGACCATTTATCACAAAGCATCAACTTAAGAAACAGGTTAAGAGAGCAAAGTAGGGAATTGTATATCATAAAACAAAATAGCAGGTTGAAAAAACATTGGTGGGTTATTTGTATCACAAAACAAGTTTTAAATAAATTTATCTTAAAAAAGCGATAACAATCTATTAATTACATCTCAACTTTGACAGGCGACAGTATCATCCGAAGACTCCAGTTACAGTAAATTTTAAAGTGGATTATCATACACAGATTTGGATAATAAACGTTAAAGTGCAAAGGCAACACCTGTAAATTACTATGTTTGCATGATATATGGCATATTTAGAAACTGGTTTTCAACAGAAGAAATCAGATTTCAAACGTGGAAATTATAACTATTAGCTTCTTAAAATCACATTTTTAATGTGGAACCAAACATGCTAATAACCCAAAACAGATTACCCAGAAATAAAAATACAAAGAAACCTTGATATCCATTGCAAACTAGTTCTGTAGCAACCTAATCTCTACACCGAACCCAGACATGTTCCTAATTGAAAAGTCAGAAAAGTAGAGAAACACACTTAAGAACTCTATCTCTCTAAATAAGGTGTAGGGACTTTGACACAAGGGTCTCTCAATAGACTTCTCCAAAAACACTTCAAACAGAGAAAGATAGAAAAAAATAAAAAAAAAAAATTTCTTCATAAACTAAATTAGCTTAAACATTTGTAGATTTCCAAAAGAAAATTCAGAGAGTTCTAACTTATGCACAAGCTAGTTGTAACTTACAGAGAGTTCTTTTTTTTTTTCTTTTTTTTTTCTCAGAAATGTTTCTCGAGAGGTTTATGCAAACATCACTATAATATTAGTAACATACACAATTCACGACAAAAATATCAATTAGATCCAAATAAGCTCCATAAGCGAAGACGATCAAAAGACATAAGAAGTCCATACCTAGGATCAACAGCGATAGCCAAATCAATCAAAGGTCCAACTGAAGCGCCCTGAAACAGAGCCGAAGCCATCAACAGAGAAACCCTCTTCTGCTCTTCAACAGGGGGCGTTGATAGCAACCACACCATGCTTCCAATGGACGCCACCGTAGTCAGAAAACCCCCAACATTCCACAATACATGAAGGAACGCTCCAACCGCAGCACCCACCACAGCGCAACATAACGTAAAATAAACCTGCAATAATCAACCACGATTCTCAACACATTCCAAAACCTCTACAAAATCAAATTAATCGCTCACATAACCAAAATCGAAAATAATAATAATAATTACCGTACCCGTTTGATGTGATTCTGAACGAGCGGAGAGATCTCACGGAAATTCTTGAGAGTGTCGTAGCTCCAGCGGCTTCGAGAAGACGATTGGGAATTGAAGAACGCTTCCATTGAAAACAACGAATCGAAATCGTAATGGTAATGTGATGCAAAACAGAAATTGAATAAAGAGAAAGAAAAGGACGCAGTTATATAGTGTTGCGGTTTTCGTTTTTTACAAAGGGTTGGGGTTTCCCCAAATTTCTAGTTTTATCCAGAAAGACCCACACGCGTCGCATTGCATTTATCTCATCACACGCATTACATACCATAATTCATTATCATAAAATAAATAAATAAATCATTAAAACGAGACAAAAAAGAATATTATTACTTGCTGAGGGAGCAAAGTAAACAACTTATACATTCCTGCGTTTTCAATCAATGTTTTTATTAAATTTTAAAAATTATATTTATAAAAATAATTTAATTATAAAAAACTGTTATCTATATTGGCATTTTAACAGGCAGGATGTACACGATAATTATTTATTTATATAATTGAAATTTTTATATATATTTTTTATCATATATTGTATTCAGATTAAAAATTATAATAAATAATTAGTTTTAAATGTATAAAATGTATTTAAAATTTACTATCAATAATTTATATTGTGATATGAAATTATTTATAACTTTAATAATTTTTTTTAAATAAATGATATATTTAAAAGAAATAAAATTTAAAAATAATGTAAAAATAAAATATATACATTTTATTTCGATATTATCATATTATGTTGTTACGAGCTAGTTAATAAACGGTTCACTTTCATTTAATATAAAAAGACAATTGCATCTTCTAAGAGAGTAAACTTCACTTCTTAATAAAAAAAATATTATTTAAATGAAGATGTATAACTTATATATTTTAAAAGCTATTCTAATTTATATATAAATGACATGTTCAAATTGATGCCTAAATATTTTAAAATATAGTTAAAAATTATTTAATTCTTTTTTATTATTGTTCAATTTTGTGAAACATTTAACGTGAATAAGTTAAGTAATATATAATTGTATTAATAAAATAATATAATATACTATTTTGTTAATAAACTTAAATAAATCGAACCTCCTTTTATTACTTATAACAATATATATAACTATTTTCTTTTCGAATGAACGTTATTATTGATATTAGTAAGAGAGAAAAAAAGGAATTCCATATTTCCACTTAAAAAATGAATGATTATTATTAATTGAATGAATAATATTTTTATATATTTTATTTTATTTTTAGAGATGCATTAGTAAAAATGTTAAAATATAATAAAATTATACAAAAATCTTAATAAAAATGAATACAAATAAAATATATATTGTTATATA